TACCTATCCATCAGGAAAACTCGCTAAGCGGTCGGGTCAATTGCCAGCTTCGCTAGCTCCACCATTCTTCATTAGACCGGAATCTATATGTATCCATTTCTTTTCACAAGGGCGCTGCATACGTCTGCTCACTTCGCCAACTCTCCATGTCGATACGTATCAAAACCTTTCCGTGTATGCGTCAAGTTCGCCGAAGCCGCACAATGCGAACAATGCCTCACTACTTGACTTCCTGTAGATCGCCTTCTTTAGACCAAATACCTGACTATCATAACGGCAGTACGTCATTGACGCACACCATTTACGACCCATCTGCTCGACTACGACTGCTTCCACTTTTCTAATTGAAATCGCTGATGAAGCTCATGTTACGTTAAGATATTCCCACTTTCATTTCGTAGAAATTTCGGCGATATTTCCTCTTGGGGAGGAGGAGGGGTGGAAATACGTAAGTTTTTTCGATGTGTGCTTAGAAGTTGTTTTCTTTTGTCTTCCCACGATTGTTGTGCCTCATCCTGCAAGTCTGTAAACCCGCGTCAAAAACCCAGTAAACTCTTGTAAAGCACGCCTAGAAAGTAATACAAGCGTCATTAGAATTCCAGTTCTCTATTATTTTCCAAACGATGACCAGTCATTCTAAATTTAACAGAAATTTCAGGGTATTTGACAGGTGACAACAAGGCTAGCAATGCTGATAAAATTGTCTGGTATTCACATGTATGCATTTAGTTTACAGACCTGGTATGCTGACCGCTTACAAGTGTGCCCCTTCAAGGTTATAAGCGCCAAAAATCGTCCATCAGAAAGAAAAATGGAGGGCAACGAAAAGAAAAAAGTGTTTTTCAAGGACTGGACTAGTAACCCACAAACCGTGAAACAATCACAACCTGTTTTTCTGAAAACCAGTTTGACGACTACGAATTTCAAAATGATGGATAAGAAATGAATGAAAACAGGTAATCTAATACCCATACAGCAAAAACTTGACTATTTCGGAATTTTTTGCAAGTGAAATCACTTGAATTGGGGATTATTCAGTCAAAAACCACTTCCTGTGAAACTCCTATCACCTAAGCGTTGCATAAAGAGGAAATACTTACTCGAAAAGTTCCGGACTTTCCTCCATCTTTTTGTGACATTCGTTACAGATACGAACTGGTAACTCGTAACCCATTCGAGGAAATGCTGTCCAGTTTGAGCAACAACTTCCACACACCGCCTTTCCACATGTTCGACAGTGATGTTGTCGTTGGCCAACCACCTGAATAACTTTGAGTTTTTAATGGAAATTTTCGACAAAAACATATCCTTTGAATCGGAATACCTTGCGCTGCCACATTGCGGAAAGATTCCAAAAGAAAGGACTATCGCAAATCTCGCAATTGTCAGAATTCTTCCATCCTGGTGTCTCTAACCTGCAAACTTGAAGCTCTATATACTTACAGACAAATGAGAGAACAATTAAAAGTATCGGGTTTAGAACAAAAAAGCTGAACTGTCACAGCTAAAACAAAAAAAAACTAGGCCGTCACAGCTATCTTTATCTAACCTAATTTATACAATAGCCGACCTGTTCGCAGACATATCCCAGCAAACAAGTTTGCCTGTATCGTCAGCTGAGAAGAGTCGAGCCGCAGCTGGAGCAACAGCCAAGCAAGTGATTTTCGAGGAATGTCCGCTGGAAAATCAGGGTCAACACTAGTCCTGAAGTTAGTAAAGAATTAGAATACTCACTTCAGTTCATAAGCTTCTCCTCGTTTCCCTCCAATATCCCACATTATTACTAAACTGTCGTGACTTCCCGAATAGAGGATTTCCTTCACTCGATTCCAGGCCAAGGAAGAGATTGGACCTGAAAAACTAACTGGATCTACAAAACTCACAGATAACGGTCGCCATTTCTCTTTTATATTCCCCTGAAGATGGAGGGACGTCATCAAGAAGGACCTCATTGAAGTGAAAGCCACGGCAGAAGATGCAGTGGATCGGAACAAGTGGCGTCTAACAAGAACAGCGGACCCTGCGACGGCGCGGGACTAACGCTAGGGAGGAAGAAGAAGATTTCACTTTTACATTCCGGGACAAATCTTTTCTTATAGAAAAAAACAGTACTGGGTTCAATATCCTGAAGGTTTCACTATATTTCTAAAAACATTCGTTGAAATTTTCCGAACCACAGAGACGCTAAAAAGTGATCACTTGGCGGAAAT